TTGACTCGGCAGGTATGGAAAACGGCAAATGAGTGTTTCAGCTATGTGCTAGTTGCAGCCTGTTTTTATGCAGTAACGCCTCCCAGAATAACCGAATTCGTGTGACAGCATGGTGAGCTCCAGCAGCGCGCCAGATACGAACTCAGATTGACCACATCATCATCAATTACCGGAGACGCGGATCGATACTTGACTGGCGCTCCTTCCGGGACACTTATGTGGATTCTTACCATGTTTTAATCGGGAGTTGTTTCTCTCTTCTTCTTCCAGAGTTGCATAGAGGACAGACAACTTGCTTGGCGACTGAAAGACTGAAAGATTCCGAGGACAAACATTTATCAGAATTATCTGAACTCTTTCCCGACCGCTCCACATCTTCACAATCTTCCAGGAGTTTTGCCTCTGACACGGTGATCCTAGGTTCACTAAGACACCGGATATCAGAATGAACGGTGATGTTACTGGAACCTCTCAGAAATGTTCGCGCCATGTCCGAACATAATTCAGGCCGACGAGTTATCAGACATTAGATGAAAGCAAGCGTGCACGTCGATCGTGAAGCCTGGTGTAAGGGAAAGGCTAAGGGATTTGGAGAGGCCTAGAAGGCTGAGAATGTCCCAAAAATACATTTCATTTGCTTCGTGCAACCAGCTTCCGGAGACCTCTGACGAAAAAAACCGTGAGGAATAAAAGTGGTTAGACCACTTTGAGTATGAAAGGACGTCTGAACCGCTGGACAACGATCTTCCTGGTCATTTGCTGCTCCACTCATTTAGATCCCGAAACTGCAGTGGAACCCTTGGATGTGCGCATAGGACTCCTCACGGTCTGGAATGTTTGTGGCTGCGTGTGTTCTACCAAGCGCCACTGAATTCTTTAGCCGGATGACCACCAACTGGAATTGTTCAAAGATGGAGATGGCCTCCTCAGGGAGCACATATCTGATCTGGGTGCATACATCTGAGAAAAGAAGACTGTCCCACGCACCCGAAGGGGACCGGTGATAATGGCCATTTTCTCAAATGGGCCCGTAGTGGACACGGTAATCACAAAGGGTTATCATGACTTCAATCGTAACGAGAAACGAGATTGTCTGATGATCGTCCTATGGTGACCTGTGAGGCACTGACTTGAGAGGAGCAAGCGGGATTCCGGACTGATAGATTTTGAGTTGACCAAATCATCATACGATCAGGTGCTCGAGCGGCACCATACACAGAAACGACCGAGAGTTTTAGTAGTGCTGGATTTACATCGTACTCGTTTGGGTGGTCTATTCTCAACGCACCTGTTCAGCAACGAATGTCCCGGAAGTTTGTAGATATAATAAGTCCTTTGTATTTTCAAACTTCCGGGCGTGTGATGATGTGCTCAAAGCCCTCCAACCCGACCTCTGCCTCTTGACCTCGACCCGTAATAGGGTGTCCTGAGCTTATTCCGGTGGCAGGTGTCACGTCAGGTGGCACTGGATTCATGCACTGAAAAGGTGCTACAGCTGAACGGGACAACGAAGAATATGCAGACAACGTCGTTTTCGGCATCTAAGGAGTGGGGCCCGAGGTGTGTTTGAATGAACCGACCACAGTCATCCCATCTTTTTGCGTTGGCTTTGCGCTCACCATGTGTAATTCCATACTGTCGGACATACAACTACTGAACTCGTTACTCACAATCCAGGGATAGACACTGGAAATTCTGGAACGTTTTACGTATCGTACAAGTTTTGGTGTGGCCGATGAGGTTAATTCGCGAATCTGGAAACTCGGGGGACGTCTGGTAAATTGCGGCATCGCTGACGTCGACTCTCAAGGTGTGCGTGTATTACGCTACGGCGCATCGTAACTGAGACGTCTTCAGGTCTTCAACAGCCGTTGTCCCGGAACAATAGCTCATTTGGCCTGGTGTTGAGAAATCCGCGGCGTAGCGTTTGGAAAACGAGTGTTCGTTTCTGCAACAGTGACTTCATTCGCGGGTGTGTGTCCAGCACCAAAAGCTGCGGTGGTTAGGCCATGTATTACCAGTTTCTACTCCAATAGCGTGAGGGAGTGTTTGTAATTGTGGACGCTTTGAAATGATTGTGTCAGGCTAGCTTCAAGTCCCTTCCCTGTTCACTGGCAAGCATAAAAGTGTTTCAAAGCAGCAGTTGTGTGTCGGTTAAGTGGCACTTCGATATCGGTTGGATTCTCTTCCATCCAGATATTTAGTTAGCGCCTCGGTGCCTAGTATGATCTCTGTACTTAGGCAATATCTCTTAACAAACGGTCGTCTGTCGGCGAAATATTCTCAAGGCCTGCTTTGTCATCGCCATAGGCAATGTAGCTTTGAAGTATTCCATCGAATGTCAGTTTTTTGGCGGTTGTCAGACCGCTTCACGTTCAACGGATGGGGAAGGGGTGTAGGGTAAGGTCGGCGAGCGAAGACATGTTTACTTGGGCAGCTGTATAAGTTCCGGTGGACTAGCTGCAAATGAGATCATTTCTCAGGTCAGAAAAGTCAGGGCAGCTTTTTCCAACCTCCAACACCTATGGCGCCGGCATGACGTGGGGTCGTCTGTCAAAGACAGAGTCTACAATGCATCGATTCGATCCGTACTGCTCAATGGATCAGAGACGTGGTCTCTACGCACAGAGGACATTCGCAAGATGTCAGTGTTTTATCATCTGTGTCTCCAAAGCATTGGTCAGGTCTAGTGGGAACATCGGATTAGTACTCCTGACTTAAGTCAGATTGTACCAGGAAGGAGGAACTCTCGCGATAGATGAATTAATCATGCTTCATAAGTTACGCCTGTTGAGACCTGTACTCCGAGTACCAGACGGCCGTCTGCCTCGCAGATCTTCTTTCACCCAGCCCTGCATTAAATGGAAGCGACCGAGAGGTGGACAGTGATGACCTGGCAAAGAAGCACGAAAACACTAACCAGTAAACGGAGTCGGGTTGGCAACCGCTGCATCCGTGGATGATGACCCCGGACTCAACTCACTGATGGTTAATGATACTTGCAGAAATGGACAATCGCAGAGGCAATGGCGTTCGTGCATCAAAGCGATCGCCTTCAAAACGTAGATACCCAGCCCCCAAACTACACAAATATTTTATCGCCTCCAACGCTTGGCCGAAGAAATGGCTCAGTGGTTGGAGCGATGGTTTACTGGCCGAAATGTCCATGGTTCGAATCCGACCTCGGCCTCTCGACTTCTGTCTAGGCTTGGGTGACCTAGCAGTATCCCAGCCTTCGTGCTTTCTTTTGGTGGCATGGCAGCTAGGTACCGAAAGGGTGCTACAGCTAAACGACTTTTTTATTTGTATATCCCACACTCCCACTTTATGGCGATCGAAACTGTAGCTGCTGAAACCGTCGTGCCTATGGCACACGATTTATAGTTGATAGATAGATGGATAGATAGATAGAAAAATAGATTGGTTGGTTGACTGATTAATTGATTGGTTGGCTGGTTTAGGCATTTAGACAAACCCGCTTGCATTAGAAGCTGGGATTAGGAGTGGGTCACCGATGGAAAGTACCATGATTCGAAAATAACCGATATAACAGACAACCATTGTTATATGTTACTGATTTATTGCTGTCACCGATAGTGATGACGATGATGTTGATGGTGGTCGTGACAGTGAGCTTCTTTAGCCTTGTGTAAGAACCGTGTGCTGTCACAACTGCCTGGTTTGTTCTTAATTTTGACCTTACTGACTCATTTGAAAGTTCCATTGAAGTTAGCGGCGAATCCATGACGGGTAAGTCATACCAAAAAGCAGCATCAAAAACGAGATTTCCGACAACTCTCTTTTACTTATTGCCCACAGCCTCACAGTGTCTAGGAATTTGTATCCAAATGGACGCATTCTTAAGTCAAACCCACAAGAAACTCCGTTCCCACAATAAAACTCAATGGGTTGTGGTTTGTATCCGTGGATGATGACCCCGGACTCAACTCACTGATGGTTAATGATACTTGCAGAAATGGACAATCGCAGAGGCAATGGCGTTCGTGCATCAAAGCGATCGCCTTCAAAACGTAGATACCCAGCCCCCAAACTACACAAATATTTTATCGCCTCCAACGCTTGGCCGAAGAAATGGCTCAGTGGTTGGAGCGATGGTTTACTGGCCGAAATGTCCATGGTTCGAATCCGACCTCGGCCTCTCGACTTCTGTCTAGGCTTGGGTGACCTAGCAGTATCCCAGCCTTCGTGCTTTCTTTTGGTGGCATGGCAGCTAGGTACCGAAAGGGTGCTACAGCTAAACGACTTTTTTATTTGTATATCCCACACTCCCACTTTATGGCGATCGAAACTGTAGCTGCTGAAACCGTCGTGCCTATGGCACACGATTTATAGTTGATAGATAGATGGATAGATAGATAGAAAAATAGATTGGTTGGTTGACTGATTAATTGATTGGTTGGCTGGTTTAGGCATTTAGACAAACCCGCTTGCATTAGAAGCTGGGATTAGGAGTGGGTCACCGATGGAAAGTACCATGATTCGAAAATAACCGATATAACAGACAACCATTGTTATATGTTACTGATTTATTGCTGTCACCGATAGTGATGACGATGATGTTGATGGTGGTCGTGACAGTGAGCTTCTTTAGCCTTGTGTAAGAACCGTGTGCTGTCACAACTGCCTGGTTTGTTCTTAATTTTGACCTTACTGACTCATTTGAAAGTTCCATTGAAGTTAGCGGCGAATCCATGACGGGTAAGTCATACCAAAAAGCAGCATCAAAAACGAGATTTCCGACAACTCTCTTTTACTTATTGCCCACAGCCTCACAGTGTCTAGGAATTTGTATCCAAATGGACGCATTCTTAAGTCAAACCCACAAGAAACTCCGTTCCCACAATAAAACTCAATGGGTTGTGGTTTGTGGAAATGAGGCATGCGACCTGGATAGCGCGACTTGTGCCTTATCCTATGCCTACTTTAAACAACAGGTAAGACATGAGAACACTTACTGAGCTAATGCTGTCAGCAACTAGGTGACAGTTGGACTGTCGTACCGCTTTGCAATATTCAACGTAAAGATATGCCTCTGAGGACGGAGATAACCCACTGGCTACGGGAATGTGGCTTGAACTGGGAAATGCTGTTCTACACAGATGACATTTTCGATTCTGAATCCTGTCCGTTAGCTCAACAGCTTTGTTGCACTGACGTCAGGCTAATCCTGGTAGATCACCACTTCATCACAGGACAAATAAAACGAACAAAGTGGACAGTAACAGAAGTGATAGATCATCACCGTTTTGAAGACACCGGTGCTGTGGAACTGCTCCTTCGCCACTGCACACTAAGACGAATCGAGCATGCCGGATCCTGTGCCAGCCTTGTTTGTGCTGAGATACTCAAGTCTGAACAGATGAAATGTATTCCCCTGGCCGTATGGAAATTGCTTTACGGTAAGCTGTCGTTTCCGGTCCCAACTGGTAACTTTCCTCGAGCAGGTGCGATTCTGATGGACACAATCGGGCTTTCGGTATTCGGACAAGAAGCGGGCCGTCTGACAGACCTGGATCTCCGGATGGCTTGTCGCATTGAAGATTTGGCCGGTAAAGACTGGTTTGCCGGACCGTCATCCAGGGAGACTATGTTCAAGGAGTTGGAAAGAGCCAAATTTGATGTGAATGGTAAGCCGTGTTTTTGTTCCGTGTCAGTTGTTCTGAATTTTCTGAAAGTTGATCCCTTCTCAAAACTACTTCATGACATTTTTATGACCATTTTAGATTGAGTACAGGGAATTCCTATCCCCAAGACTCGACAGGTCTTCCTAGGCAAATAGAAAGAAGTTTTGCCAAACATCTGAGTGTTCAACGCCGTTGACGGTTCCCTCCTCCGATTGGTGGTGACGAAACTAGACTGAGATTCCTCATTGTTTACTTTGATTATAGTGCTGGGCTGTTTTCGTATCTGAGTCGACTCGAGTTTTCTGTGTACATCTTCTTCGTTGCGTGTTCCTCCTTGTGGAGAGAGGTGGCTCAGTGGTTAGAGCGCGAATTTACTGACCGGAAGGTTCGTGATTCGAACCCGACCTCTGAATCTCGACTTCTCTCTTGGTTCGGCATTATATCCCAGCTCTCGTGCTTACTTTGGGTGGTATGGCAACTGGACGCCGAAAGGGTACTACAGCTGAACGATTATTATTGTTATTATTTATCCTTGTTCCGTGCATTTCACTTCGTGTTTCGACTCCACCAGGTCCAGCAGATACGACGCGTCTCAGAGTAGAATTTACGGAGGAAATCTTGTGGGAATTAGTACGCGCGGGCAAGATCTTTGGAAGACACTGTAATTATTTCACGTTGACGTTTTTTCAGATTTAGGTCTGTTCTTCACACAGGCACTTCCACTAAACTTCCACTGTCAGTATTTCTCGTCCAGTTCATTCTTTTCATTTTCCGGTGACGTGAATAATCGAAATATTTGTGATGTAAGGTTACTCCCTGTAGACCATAAGTTCGAGCGCACTGTTGTACCCACGTAAATCCTTGTCCCAGGGTCACCGGGGTCCAATAACTGCACTTCTGGGTTGATTTAATGAGACTATCGGACGTTTTGCTACGAATTCGACTGGAGCTAAGTATAGACGAGCGCAGAACAGCATTCACCTGCCCATTTTGTCTGCCACAGCAGCTAAACCGCTTGGCTATGTGCAGCTCTGGTGTGGGATAGAACACGGTATCCCGGAAAATCTCCAGAACTTGAGCCTGCTTGTTTGTGCACCCACCTTAAATGACTCTCGATGAGGATTGTAACATTACCTGTTCACCATACAGCTATTTATGCGGTCGCTTTACTATGGTACCAAGGTATAAATAGCAAAGTAGCGAGTAATAACTTTGTTTCTCAGCCGTTATAATTGATTGCTGACTTATTCCCTCTTCGCGCTTTCGAAGGCCTTTCTTTATGGGATCTACTTCGACGAGACATGAAAATGGCCATTGGATCGTCGAGCGCAGATGACCGAATCGCTTGTTCCACGGTTTCAGGTATGGACTTTCTGGTAAGTTCTTCTGGCGTTATATTTAGATGTGCAGTCTAACTTTTCGAAGTGATGAGAGAGTTTGATAACACTTGGGGTGACTGTGACTTACTCCATGTGCGGTGCAACCGTTATTTTTTCATTCACTAACTGGTTAGAAAAACACCACGCACCAAGAACCCAATCATGCCCTCATCTGTCTAGCTGGCATCCAGATGATTTCCTAACCTTTGAGCCCAATGACATCCCAACTAATAATCTCTAGGAGCGAGACGGTTCAGTGGTTATGGCACGAATTTGCTGACCGGAAAATCTGTGGTTCGAACCCGACCTCGCATCTCGAGGCCTTTCTTTATGGGATCTACTTCGACGAGACATGAAAATGGCCATTGGATCGTCGAGCGCAGATGACCGAATCGCTTGTTCCACGGTTTCAGGTATGGACTTTCTGGTAAGTTCTTCTGGCGTTATATTTAGATGTGCAGTCTAACTTTTCGAAGTGATGAGAGAGTTTGATAACACTTGGGGTGACTGTGACTTACTCCATGTGCGGTGCAACCGTTATTTTTTCATTCACTAACTGGTTAGAAAAACACCACGCACCAAGAACCCAATCATGCCCTCATCTGTCTAGCTGGCATCCAGATGATTTCCTAACCTTTGAGCCCAATGACATCCCAACTAATAATCTCTAGGAGCGAGACGGTTCAGTGGTTATGGCACGAATTTGCTGACCGGAAAATCTGTGGTTCGAACCCGACCTCTGCATCTCGAGCTCTCATGTGTAGACTTGGGCAACCTGGCAGTATATCAGCCCTCGTATTTCCTTCGGGTGGCTGGGCGGCTGAACGATTTATTCATATTTATTGTTGAGTACTTTGCATAGTGTGGGTTTATTCCTCGCTGTGAAAGGTTCCTGAGTCTTCACGTTTTCACTCGGAATCCCCACAATTAGCCCCCACAACGGCTTGGCCAGGTTGGTAAATACGGTCCAGTGTCATATTGGTTTGTTAATATCTCAAGTGAGCCCCGTCAAAACACTGTCGCGCCATGTCGTCCGGCTGTTGACCTGGTCGATAATTTCGCCTTGGCTAGCTACATTTTGGTGTGTTCATTCACAGACATTATATGTCCAGACAACTTGCTGCTTTTTTCTCAGATACACGAGCCCTTTTTATCTAGCCTTCATAATTCTGAATCACCGTTTAGTATGTGCTTCAAGTCTTCGTAGTGTAAGATGCAGGGAAACGATTGAGTGAGGTCAAATCCACCAGCCAGTCGATTTGGGATGGAACTTGGCAGACCGGTCGAAGCTGAGATCCCTTCGCGAAACGAAGACTGCGTTTGCCGGCCCTTGACACACATGGCACTGTTGTGACGCCAATCTGTCCGCATATTGCGTCATTGGGATCCATACGGCTCTCTAAATAGGAAATGTGGTCTCTGCGCTCAGAATGTGCACGGTTCTGGACCATATGATTCTCCGAAGTCTGTTGGGAGCATCGGATTATCTATACTGAGGTACGCCAGGTAGTTTGATGGGAAAGGAACTCTCCCGCAATGAATGAGTTATTCGTGCTGTATAGGTTACGTTGGTTGAGGTACTTACTTCCCTGACAGGGGACCGTCTACTCTGCACAGCTCTTTTTGCCTATCCGTCTGCTGGGTGGATGCCTTTGACAGTGGAAGGGCACAGTCTATGATATAGCAACCAATTATAAAGGCATTAACCAGTAAACTCAGTTGGGTTGATAACTACTGTCTCCTTTGATGGGGTTTGAGGGATCACTCCCACAGTCAGTAGCACTCCTGCGTCTTCAGTGTGTAGCTGCCCAAATCACTAAACTGACTAGGTTATTGACTCCTTTCATTTCAGTTTGGCAATGGGTTCCTTGGTTCCCCCTGCCCAAGTTTCCGCAGCTGAAAGATGGGAGATTAGGGGAGATATAGTCAAACACTTGGGTTGTTTTTTATCAGTCTAGTTATTTGAATAAACAGGAAGCTGAGCGGCTAGCTTTGATGCATGAACGCCACTGACTGCCCAGGTGTGATTAGCCATTGATGAGTTGAGTCTTTGGGTCCCGTCCATGCAGGTGGCAACCGTCAACCTGACGGAGTCTAATGGTTAGTACTTCATACCTTATTGGCAAGTCATAGACTCTCCATCTCTCTGTCAGTTCCACTTAGAACAGGGGTGGACAAAAATAGTTGTGCTAGCTAGATGATTCTGTGGCATGCGAAGTACACGTTCTAACCGGTGTAACCTATCAAGTACTGATAGCCCATCCTTCTTTCTCAAACTTTCTGGCATACCTCGCCATTGCTAACCCTGTGTCCCAGCCAGTCCCTGGCAGTACACTCATGGCCAGATGCCAAGAGTTTTTGTACATCTGCGTCAATCACTGGATCTCACTGTTACAATGTATACTCGGCGCTCGACAAACAGGCCAAAATCACGCCGTAGGTGCCATAGGTTTCTTGCTTTACTTTCGGATGACCATCCCTTGAGACAGGATTAGTCGGTTGCTTAAGTGTTTGTGGCAGACGCTGCCTAGGAACAGTCACTGGCCACCAGATCGGCACAAACGCTATCCACTGCCGGCCCCCATGACAGACCCCGTAGGCCAAAGGAAGACCGAGCTGTTCCATGCAGCTTTTAACTGTTTGACCACTGAAGACACCGTCGTTGGAGGAATTGATATGGATATGGTAAATCCTGACAACGTTTCCATATCTCGTTACTGAACATCTCTAGAGAGTGAGTTCTCAGTGTGCTCCGGAGGTAAAAAGACCTTCAGATGTCTTTTGTTCTGGGAGGTCGTGTTTCGCAGGCATAAATCAAGACCTGCTGAACGACTCTGTTCCAGATCTTTCATGTTAAGGTTTTCAGACCATCAACCAGA